AGACCACAAATTAAATATTTAAGGGCTTGGGCATTATGCTCGAGTTTCTCATAATCTTCAGAAGTATATTCAACTTTAGGTTTAGGAACAACATTACCTTCGGCGTTTCTCTTTGTGATGACATTATCACCATTTTCAATTACATTCCAAACCTGGTAGTTATCGGCCTTGATAAAGTTTTCCATCCGACTCTTCCAAAATTGATAGTATTTGCCATTGAACAATGGTGGTCGTTGAGTCGAGTACCCTTCTTCCAATCGGTCAACCGTATTCATTTTGCCGGATCTCTTCCCAAGGTATTAGCCTTTATGTGGTGAAGACCGGCTCTGATACCAATTGATGAAAACGGTTAGCAACACAAGAGGGGGGGTGAATTGTGTGTGTGTGGAACCGTGTCAGTTTTTCGCCGAGTTCTAGTGTGGGATAAAGGGAATTGCAAAACAGTAAAGTGCACAAGAATTTAACGAGGAAAAATCCCTTGGCTCAAAGGGATTAAAAAACCTCGACCTCCCTCGGAGGAATTTTAAACAACTTCACTAAACAAGCCTTTGAAAGAGTTACAAGAGTGATTCTCCTAATCTACCCTTGAGCCTCCCCAACTCTATCCTCTCTAGGAAGAGTTATGCATCTCTACCTTGCGGGTAGAGAGCCTCTCAGCTTTGTCACAAAGCTCTCACACACACTTAACCCGAGGCAGCTACTCTAGCCAATTAAGCCTCAATAATCCAAGTACAATATGAAAGGGAAAAGAGAAACTCTATCTAGAACTCCGAGCGGGCAGTTTCAGGCGCCAAGGACTTGATCCTTTTCTTGAATGATTCTTCTAAGTATTTTTCTCGGTTCAGCACACTTTATTTGTCTTTGGCTGCTTCGTTTATATAGGCTGTCTTGGCAGACCGTTTTAGCACCCTTCCTTGAATAGTTGATCTTCTAATTTTGGGACTTGCCTTGATATTTTGAATTGCTTTCCTTTCATGATATTTCCCATATCCGAGCTCAATATATAAGGCAGTCAAATTAAAATATCCAACATTTAATATTCATATATTCAAGGTAGCAACATAGTCACAAATTGCCCATTCAAATCACGTGTAAGTATTTTGAATTAATTATCAAAGAGAGCAAGCTTTGGTCAACTTTCAAAAAGGTAGGAAATCATTCCATATAAGAAGGGATGCAACGGCCAGAACATAGATTTCTAACAAGTCATGCACTAAAAATATATTCTTGCCTTATTATAATAATCTTGACTAAGTAAGTGGTCTTTTTGAATTGGGCTCACATAAAGAAAGTATATTAGCTAGTAACCAAATAAATCATGCACCTAAATACGAAAGATAATTAAGTAGGTGCAAATATATTAATTCAAGCCAACTATCTTTATATTACAAGCAAGTCAAGATTACTTTCCATAAAGTAAAAAGCACAATTACTTTTTATAAAGTTAAAAGCACAATTACTTAAGTGGGTGTCAATTTGGTCATGCATGAAAAGCTACATTAAGTACACACATATTAATCCAATTAAATCACAAATTATATCACGTAAGCACATGAACTAGTTTTGTCCTTTGTCGCTTAAAGAACTGTGAGCGGTTCTGTCCCTTGTTCCACCTGCATGGTTAGTCATCAACAAAACCACATACTCAACACGAGTCATGAACTCAAGCTTAAGGTGGGTGTGCCTATAATGCTTATGAGAACATAGATCACACTGTTGGGTTATGCAATGGTACGAGACTCATGGTTACTAAACTCGAGACTCATATTATTGAGACTCAGGTGATGTCAAGATCAAATGCTGGTGAAAAGTATCTTATTCCCTGACTTAGTTTAAAGCCTACGGACTTGAAACTCCCTTTCACGTTTCAACGCAAACAATTTTCTCTTATGGTTAGTTATGCGTTGATGATTAATAAGAGTGAAGGACAATCGTTAGAAAAGGTTTATATATTCTTGCGGCGTCAGGTTTTTACTCATGGACAATTGTATATTGCAGTATCGAGAGTTACAAGTCCATCAGGGTTAAAATTTGTCATATGGGACAACGATTGTCCATTAGTTAATACTGCTCTATATGTTGTTTACAAAAAAGTGTATAACAATTTATAAATTTTTTCATATGTGATTTCTTAGATGTTGAATCTTATACTACGAATGTTTAAATTATACTTCTATTATCATTTTAAATTTTTACTAGTAAACTCAACAACAAGAATGCCCTTAAGAACAATTCAACATAATGTTTTAAGAATTAAGATATGCACACCCTTTAATCACTTGGATATTAGAGTATATTTGTTCTAATTTTACAGTTTTTGTGTTTAATTCTTCCATATTAAATGAGAGTTTTGTAAGATCATCTCCATATAATCAAACGGTTTCAAACTCTAGTTAACTGTTTTACGTACAATACTACAATAGGTGTTCATAGTGTTAAAATCTTAAACCACAATAAATTGCTCCTAACCTTAACGAGTTCGTATACCGTACAGTCGGCTGTACCGTGAGCACCGTACAGCCGGTGACATTTTTGTAATCTAATTGAGAATCACGACTTCTGTTAAATGAGTATTAATGCATTGTTAGTGAGCATCAGACTTACTTTGTTGAGCATTAAAAGTCAAATATTGAGCATCGTGAACTCTGTTGCAGTTCTTGTAATTCACTTTTGTTTTCGTATTTTTTAAAATATCTATAATGAATACTATCATATGTATGAATCCAATACGCAAATATACTGTAATATTATAATTTTTAAATATGCATGAATATGACATTATAAAATGAGCATTACATCAATACCAAATGAGCATACACAACTTACAAAAGAATATCAAAAAATTATAAAAACTCATTTAAAATCTCTTTGTATGTTTAAAATGAGCATACCTTACTTACAAAATGAGCAGTGGAAATTTTAAAATGAGCATTACACCCATATGCATAAATAATTAAATATGAAATTTTAAATGAGTATTCCACTAATAGTAAATGAGCATACATAACTTATGAAATGAGCATCGAAAAATTCAAAAAACTCATTCAAAATATCTAGTGTGCTCAAATTTTAATTTGTGTGTGCTCATATATTTAAATATTAAGATCCAAGTTTAAAGATAAAATCATCCTAATTTGTGTATGAATCTAAGGAAGTGGATGATGGTGCAGGAGTAGAAATTTGTGGTTTAAAGACAAAATCATCCCAATTGGCTTGTTTAGACGGCAAAGGATTATCCATAGCCCATAGGTTTTGTAATCATTTTGTCTTCAACCAAAACATTTTTAGGGATCTCTTCTGCAAAAAACCAGACATCTTTATAATTCGAACCAAACTAAGGTAGATCCATCCACTTTGCTTATTTGCTACAAACTTAGGGTATGTTTGGCACAACTAGTTGAAAAGATACTTTTACAGACTTTTTAGTAACGGTTAGCTTTTAGTGACTGAAAAGATCTTAAAAGTAAAAGGTCGTAGCTGTTTTTTTTTAAGAAAAGAGAATTTTATTGAAAAAAAGTAAACAATACATAGAAAGAAAAAACAGATAAAGAAAAAAGAAAACAAAAGAAATAAAATAAAACAATACAGAGAAAGAAAAGACTAAAACTACACCCAAGGAAATTCTCTTGACCGAGACCTAGTAGTCATGCTGTGCCGCCTTTTATTCTTTTGAGTTTTTCCTATAGATTTTGAGTTGTGTGTTTAAATTCTCTGTTGGCAAGCAATTTTCTGAAGTAACAAACTTTGATTTCCTGCAAATCGCTCTATTGAATTTTGATTTCGTAATTTCTCCTGGAGTTGAGATAGGGGGACGACGATCACTCTCAGTGGCATGTCCCAGAAAGTCGTAGCTGTTTGGTAAAAAGCCGACTGTTTGGTTTAGGGGGTGTTTGGATCTGATTCTCAAAACTGATTCTGCTGCTTCAGGGAGCAGAAGCAGAAGTCGGAGTGTTTGGGTGAAGTTCCAGAAGCACTTCTGGTGCTCTAATTTACTCTCAGAATCAGTTTTTTTAGAAGCTGGGGGGTACCAGCTTCTGAAAACTGATTCTGATTCTGCTTCTGCTTCAAAAAAGAAGCAGAAGCAGAATCAGTTCCAAACACCCCCTTAGTTCTGTTTGGTATAGAAGCTGTTGGGACTAATTAATGCTAAAAGTCACAGACTTTTTTCAGATGCTACTCCCTATAGCATCTCAAAAAAGAGCTTTTTATTTTTGGAAAAGCTCTTAAAATTGTCATACCAAACATACAACTAGGAGCTTTTAGAGACTTTTTAAATAATACAAAAGCTAGAAGGCAGGGACTTTTGCCTGCCAAACATAACCTTAGCCACCCAAGCTTTTTCTTCAAATCTCACGGCAATTTTCTAAAGCTTTTGTAGCATCATCCGTAGAACAAAAAGTCCGAATTCAGCTTGCAAATCGTCTCTCCATTGCTCTGGAAGTCGGTGCTTGCTGCATTCCACCCAGTGTCGATCGTTTTTCCTGCGCGCTTCATGTATTACTTAACAACCTTAAGAGTCCACTATATTACAAAAATACCCAGATGTACCATGCTCAAGGTATATTCGGTGGTAGGATATAATTTACCAACTTTAACCACCTGCGTAGTGTCCGATTGGTGACATCATTTTTGGCTTATCGGTCTTAGCCACGCTTTCACAAAACACGCAACTTTTTCGGTAGTGTAATTATCAAGTTAGAGTCACTTTTCTGACTGGATTGGATAAAATTACTGTAAATAATCATGTTAGTTGTTTCCTCATTTTTTTACTAATAAAATACCGAGTGTATTTCAAATATTTAGTATATTTTTTTTCATAATTTTGTAAAAACCATCGATCCAACAACTTCAACTTGATCTTCACCATTCTCAGCATCCATTCAATCAATTTTTTTGTATTAAAACAATGACGAAAAATATCAACAAATTAAACGGTAGTAAACGCAATCTCGGAAAAGGGCAACGACAACTAATTGAAAGCCAAAAAAGAAGGTTGCATTTGCATAACGACTTCCTTTAATGACCAATTGTGCCATAATCAGCATTTATTCAAACACAGTAATAAATAGCAGTAGTAATATGCACTTGTTGGCAGTTGACATCTTTGCCCCACCCCACTCAATGATCATCATCACATTCAGCCGTTGATGTCATCATCATGTAAAAACAACAAATCCAAAATACCCTCCTACTTATTTTCATGAATGTAATTAGCATAATCATAGCAAATAAATCATAATAAAGGTAAATTGTAATTAGCTAATTGTATTTTCACTGTCAATCATAATTTTATCATTCTCATTATCGTCCCACTTCCATAGCAGCATGTCATTAAACCCATCCCAGATTTCATCGTATCCTTCGATCGCATCAACAACGTCATCATCGTCCAAAATCCAGCTAACCCATTCTTCCTCGTCGTGAAATACGGCGGTTCCATTACACTCGCCGCCGTCTCCGCCGTACCCTCCGCCGGCCGGACCACTACCGCAACCGTCTCCTGCCTCGGCATTTACTGCTAATAAAACCCCGCCTGCGACCTCGCAAGGCGTTATTTCGCTGTCAAATAGTTCACCGCGCGGGCCCACCGGCGGGGCCTTGTTTTCATCTGGTCCCTTGGCGGTGGTGGGGCCCAAAGGGCGCTCGGTGGGGCCGGGTTCTCCACGGGACCCGTGAAGTTCTGACGGGTTGCATTTATTTCGGAAAGAGGAGGTGGCGACGTGGAAGGACGCGGTGTTGTATTTTTTAGCGAGGGATCGGCTGACACGCCCGCCTCTTCTCCGCCGCGAAGAGGGCGTTTTGGAGGCGACGTCATCGGCCACCGCCGGGGTGGGCCCGCTTCTGATGAACCTGAAACTGTACATTCTCCGGCTAAGATGAGAGTTCCAGTAATTTTTTATTTCGTTATCTGTTCGTCCTGGCAATTGGCTTGCGATCAATGACCACCTGCACCATTATCATTACGATCATTTTTTTGCAGAGATTATTACGTAGTATTATTAATATTAATATTAATATTATTATTATTATTATAAAATTGCTCAAATAAAAGTAAGATATACGGAGCAGTTTTTTTTGGACAATTCTTTCTAACTTGTAAAGTATCCCAACATCCTTGAACTGGGATGACATTCGAAGTCGTGACCTCCTCTTTGGGAGTGTCACAGTGATGCCATCAGACCACAAGTTTACAAACAGAACATGTTGAATTATTTACGTAAATAATAAAATTTTTAATAGTGTGGACATATTTTGAACGTGTTGAGTAGGAGTAAACACATTTCAAAATAGGACATTCATGTGTCATGTTTAAAATATGATAATGCAAACTTGACAAAAATTACTCTTATTAAGGGAATACAAAACAATCATATATTAAAATTTCAAATTATTTTTTACTAATATTAAGGAAATATTCCCTTAAAATTTTACTACATTTTATTTTGAAGAAGGAATTTTCCTTGATCCCAAAAAAAGGTAAAATCTCCTACCCTGGAGCCCCCACGCATCGACCTGACAGGGCACATGGGAGGATATAAATCACGGTAACTCAGTCGGTGGAGTAGCAATAGGTTCATATACCCGTGCGCGCCAGAAGTCCAGCTCATTTCAGAGGATGTGGCCTTCAACAGTCGCTGCGGGGACTCGAACCATGGTCATTGATCCAAATCTCTACCACTCAACCGAGTGAGCTACCGGCCGTGCGAGTATCATCATTCTCATTCCTATTCTTGCTATTATAAGTAGTATAGGCAGTATCCATTTTCAAAGTTGTGTGATCCATTTTACCCAAAAAAAAGGTTGTGTGATCGTGCATGAAGGATAAGCATTCATTCATTAATAAACAAAATTCAAATATAAATGTACCACTATTTTATAGACAATTTTATTTAAACCGTAAAAAGAACATTTGATATATAATTAACATATACGTAGTATATTTATTTGTGTTATACTAAGTATTTATTCTATAATATCAATCTCTAAATTTAACTTTCACCATGTATTATCACGAGAGGCCAAGTCATATGCCAGCATCTCCAAACTTTCCTCAATAAAATCTGTTTGTTTTCAAAAAAATAGAGACGCTAAATAAAATTAAAAAAAACAGCAATTTTTGTTACAAGGTGATGGATTACAAAATGGCTGGTACGCCAAGACACACAAAAATTTATTGTGCAAATTAAATAATAAATACTTTCATGTACTCGTTAATCGTTATTTAAATAAATTGGTAGAGCACATACACTTGTACACTTGTATGCAAATGAATGCTACGGAGTATGATTCTTCATTTAAAAGTAAGAGTACCGTATGCCCAATGAAATACGAGTAATGAAAATGATAGTTCCATGTTATCATTATATGCATTTTTATTGCATTAGTTATTTATGATAACTTCTAGATACAATATTAATAATAATGATTAGTATTGACCAATTATTACTACAAGTCTACCCCTTCAAATTAAAGTTCCTTGGAATTTGCCTTACTATTATTGATAGTGTTGTTTTGGCATGAAGCATGATGTTTGAGCTTTTGGCTTCAAAAGAAGGTGAAAACGTGTTTTCAAGCTAATGGTTCTACACTTCTACTTAAAGTTAAACTGTTTAGTGTAATAATAAAAAATTAAAAACGGATAGTGTCGCTCTTATTATACAAAAAAAACACTTTCTTATCAAATACGGAGTACTAGCTACTACTATATAAGTCTATAACTACTTTACACTTTAATTTCAAAATTATTAGTCAAAACTTTTACTATTAGTAACTTTTTGTATAAACATTGTTGATGCTATATTTGTACGTAGTATATTACAGGTAATAAATAATCCGCAATAAGTATCTTAAATAAGGACAACTACATTAAATTATCATCCAATCTTTTAGTCAACAATGTCAATGAGTGTGACAAAGAAAGCCACGGATCTACCAAACCCAAAATAAAACGTTTGAAAATTACACCACCTACCCGTATGTTACCTCATTTCTTTTTTAATCACAAGAGTTTATCTTTCACGTTTGTTAAGAAAAATTTAATAATATTTTGATTATATATTTGTTTAAAATCAGGATTAAAAAAGATATGTCAATAATATCAAATTAAAAGTGTTAATAACTACTCCCTCCGCCCCCCTTATATTGTCTTGTTTTACCTTTTCGGGAAGTACCACTAAAATTGTCTCATACCATATTTGATAAAGTTTGTGTGGCTCATAATCATATTTACTTTATTCTTACTTTATCGATTAATACAAACCACACAAACCCATTTTCCTTAAAAATCGTGTCACCC